TGTGCACTCAAACTATGCAGATATTTCTGTTTTATTCCCCTGCCTTAGTATGCCTTGCTCTATTTTAATTGTGCTAAGAGCAGTGATGGCCCTGCTGAAATTGGAAAGGTTCTTTGCAAGTCATTTCACTCTTCAGAACAGGTTTAGATTGTAGAGCCTGAAATGACAGTGGCTTTCTTTTACTTGTTGCTTTGGCCATGTGCCACAGCAGTTTTACACTTTACTGTCATGGGTGACGAGTAGTGGAGCACTCTGTGGAAAGCATTCCTAGGACAGATGCAATGCAAACTTACCTTCAAGTCTCTGCTTGTTAGTTTCGTTAGAAGCACTGAAAAGATTGAGAAGCTGAATTGCGATCACCTCCAGTGGTGGCAAATTATGCCTTAATATGGTTGAGTTTGTTTACTGTTGATGCTTAGATTCTGTAGCACAGTTCTAAGCAGCATCACCTGCCGAGATTGTAGGTATTGACTGTCACCTATCTCTAATTCTAGCACAGCACTTTGATTGTCAGTGTTTTGGGTCTGGCTGGGCTGGAGTTGATTTTCCCCGTGGCAGCCCTCAGAGTGCTGTGTTTTGTATTGGTGGCTCGAGGGGTGTTGATAACACCCCAGTGTTTTGGTTACTGGTGAGCAGTGCTAGCACAGCACCGAGGCTGGCTCTCCAGCATTCCCCACAAACAGATATTCTTAATTGCCTGAGCAATACGGCATGGAGTTTATGCAATACTAGTTCCTGTTTGTCAGAATACCTCTACTTCATCCATAGCGTATTCCTTATGTAACATAACGCTGGAAGAGAAAGCAGACTTACTTTTTTGTATCAACTTTTTTCCACAAGATGACAATGCTAAAATGACAAAGTGGATTTAAAGGTAAATTGACATAAGGCACAGTTTGTTCTAGAAGGCCATACGTCATTTCATGTATATGAATAAGGATTTTTTTGCAATTCACTTAAAGTCTGCATAAGCAAAATAAAAGCAAATTGAATGGGCTTAAGTATGAACTGTTGCATGATTCCATCATAAATCAAGTTTAACTGAGGAAGAATAGAATTAAATTCATATGGTAGTTGCATGAGAATGTGCTTTGTTCTGTGTTGTTCAGATAGGCATAGGTTGTGTCACACAACTCGTTTCTTGTACTTAGATAATCTCATCATCTTTTATTCTCCAAATCCATCCATAGTGCAGCTTTTCAAATCTTATGCTTTCTCTCTGTTTCTATTGAAAAGAAACAGAAATGGAGATCTTATCCATCATTTTTCAAGGCTTTATAAAGCTTGAGGCTTAAGTCCCATAATAGAGGCCTCCATAACCAAGGTAATATGAACAATTACACTGAGAGAAAGAGCTGCTGTGGCTTTTTTAGAAACCTTCACCAAAGCTGTGTCTGCAAAGTGAGCCAGTCAAAAATCTCATAAATAGCTGTATGTAACAAAGACAGCGGATGTTTCAGTATATGGTGGCAAAAAACTGATTCCCAATGCTTTAAGTCTCATAATGCTGTATGAGTGTTAAGTCTTCATTATTAGACCTAATCCTTTTTAAATTATTTTCAAAATGAAGAGTTCTAATTTTTAAAAATAAGTAAAGTTTTTTCTTTCATACATTTGTAATTATTTAGATTCTTCACCTGTATGTTGGATGTAATAATTCATAGGAATGTTGTAAAGAATCACTAACTTGTTGGTCAGAGCTCTTGGATAAAAAAGGCTTTTTGTTTTCTCTTGTGTAGCTTTTGACTAAGAATTTGATTCCATTTGTTCTACACCAACAACTGCTTGCCATTTGTTTTGCCTCTTAATAGTGTTACTTCCCTCTGCCTTTTCAAACTGTGATGACAAGTTTTCCATTATGTTTATTTAAGTTTATTTCTCTTAGAGTGTGAATATAGAGAAGCTGCAGGGGTCATCCATCAACATATCTACTGAAGATGGGCTGCTGAAAACTAAGTATCTCTATGCAGAATCATCATCGCTGTCTTCAGTAGCTGGTGATATTCTGCTGGGAAGTATTCATGGTAAGAAGGAAATACTGTCACAAATTTAGCTGCCTTGAAGGTATTTGTAACGCTCACAGCTATAGGCTGTCACTAAATCAACTGCACAGTATATGAACAAAACAAATTATTGGAGACTGAATTGATGTGGATTAACTTCCAGTATAGCATACTGTATTTACTTCTAAAAACAATTTTATAAACACACTTGTGAAATAACAAAAAGTGTATATTATAGGAAAGAAACATACCAAGGATATAAAAATATTTTTTAAAATCTGCAATGGAAATTATACTCAGTGATAAACAGGCTTCTCTTCCCTTCTCTCCGCCCTTTATTTTCGTGATATGAGATGTAACTCTTAAACAGCATCTACTAAGAACTGTGGTAGAACTCGGGTTTTTCAAAGCTTTTAGCAGAAATGGTCTGTGTGTGTTCTAGCACCCTATAGTAATAGGGTGGTGGCAGTTTATGTTTTTTGGGGAAAAAAATTCTGTAATCCATCTACCCTTTACTGTCCTTCGTCTAGAACTAAAACTAATGACCCCGAGTGTCTTTTTATATAAACAGCAGTTCAGAGTTGGAACCTGGCATGGTTTTCTAAATTAACAAAATTCCCACTGTGCTGTAATGTTTGTGGTGAATTAATGTTAAGTAAAACAAACTGAAAGATGTACGAAGAGTGAAAATTGCTCAGATCAGTCAGAGTTCCAGGTTTCCAGCTATATGCCTTATTAACAATTTGCTGCAATTTCTTAGCAATTTTGTGTTGTCATCTTGTTCAGAAACACCTCTCTTTTCTTCCTTAAAGGTGAAACTCCTTTGTCCATTTATAGTAAACTTAAGACTGGTTTCTAAACCTGTTAGGCATGCATAGGCAGAAATAAGATTTTTTTTTTTTTTTTTTTTTTTTTTTTTTTGGCCCCCACCCCCACACTTCCTGCTACTATAATTTTCTGACATGTAGACTGTATTGTTACTAGTACTTCTGTCTGATAAGCTGTTTTGGTTTTGTTTGGGTTTTTTTCCAAACTTCAAACTAATACAATACTACTGTGGAATGACCAGTTTGTGAGCGTGTTCATGCCTCTGCACATCCAAAAGTTTATTTTCATTTTATTGGAACAAAAATGAAATTATAACTGCTCTAGTTAGTGACTGACTGACTTAGTAATGCCTCATTGTCACTTAGCTGAACAACAGTGTGAAAACAAATAGAATTGTATCCAAATTGTACAGACATTCCTTACATTACTTCAGGGTTATTTTCATGGGCTCTCTACTAAATGGGTCTGGAACACCTAACATTATTTTAGCTGTTTCTTTTATAAACAATTGCACATTAACATTTTCTCGGTACTTCTAGTCTATATTTTCAGAAAAATATTTTCTGCAGAATATAATGTTCCTCAATCTTTTTTTGTTTATAGTAAGAGAAAATACTTTTTAAGTATTCTATTATATTACATATATATGTACATACACATACATATTAGCAGAAAAGGTAGTCATGTTCACCTCTAGTCTTTGCTCATGAGGTAACTCAATTTTAGTAGTAGTTTTGCTTGTAAACACTTGAACAGATTGTTTCTCGGGTAATTAAGCCCACTATTTCCCTATAGCTGACAGTATGCTGATATTATAGTTGGCATAAAATCAGCACATCTGTGCACAAAATTGGGCTAGACCTCATTGCTTTTGCACTGAGAACGTACTTAATTACAGTGTGCCTTTTAAAAACAGAAAACAGTAAAGCCAAATGTCTTTCAAGTTCACTGAAATATGGCTTTGTTTCCCCTCTGTTTTTTAGAACCCCTAAGTATTTTGTACAGTACGTGCTTGAAATGATGGAATTTAAGACTATTGATAATAGGCTGCTTTTCCAGCTTTCAGCCCACAGACCCCTAAGAAAAATACTACAGGTCATATACAGTGGAATGCATCCTACCCTAATGGCTGTTTACAACTCTGTAATTACAGAAGAAGGAAGGAGCAGAGCTTGATCCATTTTCAATTTTTAAAGGCCTCTTCTGAAAGATCTGAAAATTGTTGTGAATAGTGTGTGTTACAAAATTGGACTCAATTTCTGTAATCAACCTTATTTTTCAATCTGTCATCCTTCTGGGAGGATGAGGGAATGGCAGGAGTGACATGTTGTGGTTCGGTTTTTTAATTTAAGGTATTTTTTGTGTTTCAGTTATACATGTGTAACATACATGGAACTGCAGAAGTTTTTACCAACTTTGTTAGACTGTTAGTAGTAAAGATGACTCTTCTGTTATGAGATACATCTGTCCTCCTTCCAGATTCTCTTGATGCCATAGGTAAAGGAGAAGAGTGTGTATTTGGGGATTTTAAGGGTAAAATACCGGTGCCTGTTCAAAGTGGTACAAGTTCAGGAGGATAACCATTTTACATCTTGTGACTTACACATGCTTTTGTTTGATGCTCTCCAGTTTGTCCAACACACATTGACATCATGCACATAAGAATAAGTTTGGAGGGAGTAGGTAATGTTCAGTGAGTCCAGGAAGTAGCCTTTAAGAATAAAGCAAAAAATCCCCTTGGGGCTGGCGGAAGGGGCATGTACGTATGTATATAAAAGAGCTAAACAGAAACTCTTTACGTTACTCATTCTATTAAACTACTTAAATAATCCATAGTGCTGTTGCAGGTATTAGGGCAATTACAACAAAAAAAGGCCCCAAATAAAGTAAGAAAATATTGTGCTTTAGCCTCACAATACATCTCTGCTTTTCTCTCCCTTGCGTCAAGTCTGTGTCCTTAAGCTTTACTCAGTGTTTTTCTTGTCTTGAATAATTTCATTGTTACCCACTTGTATCAAGATTTTTGTTTGTAAAGCAGTAATATTCAAGCAATAGAACTGGCTAATGCTATTTTGTTTTTATATGCAAATAAGATATGCTTCGATAACGGTAACGCCCTTGTATACAGTCACATTACTTTAGCCTTTGTTATGATTTCAGAAACCAGTTAAATAATATGATTGTAACATTATTTCCCCTTCTCTTTTCCTAATAGGTAACACCAGCCTTCAGACCAAAACAGGGAGTATCACAGTAGGTAGGTACCTTCTCTCTGAGATAACTCTTTTCTTACTCTTCCCTTCTCCTTTCTAAAAGCTAAATATTCACAGAGAAAGTAAAAAGGAGATGTTTCTGCCCTCTTTTCTTTTCAGGAGTAGCACTGATAGCTCTGTAGCTGAAGGAGATCCTTCCCAAACTTGACTGTCAGCCTTTTGTATTTGTGCAAGGCACACTGTCTAGCTTTGGATACACAATATCTGCTGGGCTCTGCACGAGTTAGACTGAGTCTAGGTGTCGTATTTTAGATTAAGATGGGGTAAAAGGACATGAGAAAAGCCTAAGTGTGCATCAAATGCAATCATTTTGCCTTTAACCTAGTTCACTATCTTACATTTCTTGATATCAGTGATTAGCTATGTTTAATTTGTATATCACAAAGCATTAATCATTGATGTATTACATATTGGCAGGGGGAAGGCTTGTGATAATTTAAACAACATTTCCAAACTGTTATGGTAATAATTTTCCCTTCAGAAATTAAAACAGCTCACATTTTCTTTCAGGAACTTGAGCTTTTATACAACAGGATAACTCTGAGTTATCAATTATGGTATGCACTATATCAGTTGTATTATTTTAGGAAAATATTATGGCCCCTTCTGTGACCATTTTATAGTACACTAACAAAGAAGTGAGAAACTCAAATTCTGGTTATATCTGTGGCAGAAAATTGAAGTAACAGAATCGTAGACAAGGCTCAGTGTCCCTTGAACATACGTAGAAGGATTTCCCCTTCTGTAAATAAACTATATTACAGGCCCAAATATCAAAGACTTCTGCTAATGGTAGTAACCTTACTCACTCAGTAAGTGTTGTTCAGGAACAAGCTGTACTGTTATAACTTTTCTTATGTTTCTAAGTGATCTATATTAACATTCCTGGAAAATGAATGCAATACATTCTTATGAGTTAGTCATTAAACCACAGAATTAAATTAAGCTTGTTTTTCCTTCTGTTAAATAAACTCATAGAATATGATGAGTGTTTAAATAAAGGTATCTTAACACAGGAGGTAGCTTTTTCCATCAACAGATTATTATTTTCCTTAATTAACCAGGTTCAGATGAAACATTAAGACACATCTTACAAATGAATAAACTATTTTTCAGCTCCCAATTCTGAAAGCACTAGTTGACTTAATCTTTTCCTAAAGAGCATTAAACATCCTTTAGATTTTTACAAATTTTTCCAAAGGCAAATGACTTTTAAGATCCAGTGTCTCAACTCAAAGCTTGAGAAAGAAAATGTAAAGTTTTAAGTGAAAGGTTTTTTGTGGATGAGAAATTTAGGCCACAAGATAGTTTGTTGGACTGCCAGAGACCTGACAGAGATTTGTTGATTGAAACAGGAAAAACAACTCGGATCTTCCAGCTTCCCTGGCTGGGTTTTCATAGGGATGTAGTTATTTATTTCACTGGAGGCAGAATTTTATCAGTTAACTGAAAAAAATGCACTCATCTCTGGATTTAGCAAATGTATCCTTAGCTTTCGAGAGATTTATTTGCAAGTTAAATTAATACATAACTGAGAGTACTTGATTTCCACCCCCCCCCCCCCCCCAAAAAAATATTTTGGGGAAACCAATGCTGTTGTCTCTCACTCCCTTTAATTTTCTGTTTTGTTTTTTTTATTATTATTTATAGAATAGTTTTATTTGATTTAGGTTTTTTTTTTTTGGTATTACTTCTTTGTTGTAAATATATTTTTATTTTTTGAAGACTGTCCAAAATTCTATGTGATTTTAAGCATCTGGCATATGGCAGTGTTTCACACTGACATTGTTAAAATATGAAGATGTGGATTATTCCTTTTTTTTTTTCCCTCCTATACTGTGAGCTTTTTAGTCACTGACAAATCATTTTCCAACCCTATACTAGAAGCTTCCCACTTCTAACAAATGTTGTGTGGGTTTTGAATGGGTTTCAAGTTAAAACAAGTAGACCTATTTTTATTTCTAGATTAAGTTCCTACTTAAAATAGTCATTAGAAATCTGAAAAATCTTATAAAAAGTAATGCAGTACTTTGTTTTTAGAACTAGCTTAATCTTTTAAATTTTTATTTGGTAGATTCATAGGAAACTCAGGTTGGAAGAGACCTTGGGAAGTTGCAAAGTCACAGAAATGGTGGAGGTTGGAAGGGACTTCTGAAGGTCATCTTGTCCAGCCCCTCTGCTCAAGCAGTCTCTAGTCTCCAACCTCCCACTCAAAGCCATGCCAACTGTGAGGCTGTGCAGGGCTTTATCCTGTGGTCTTGAAAACCTCCAAGGATGCAGACTGTGCAGCTTCTCTGGGCAAACTGTTACACAGAATCACAGAATGTTGGGGATTGGAAGGGACCTCGAAAGATCATCTAGTCCAATCCCCCTGCCAGAGCAGGAACCTAAATGAGATCACACAGGAAAGCGTCCAGGTGGGTTTTGAATGTCTCCAGAGAAGGAGACTCCACAACCTCCCTGGGCAGCCTGTCCCAGTGCTCCATCACCCTCACTGTAAAGAAGTTCCTTCTGAAATTTAAGCGGAACCTCCTGTGTTCCAGCTCACACCCATTGCCCCTTGTCCTACCATTGGGCATCACTGAGAAGAGCCTGGCTCCATCCTCATGACATTCGCCCTTAACATATTTATTCCACTGCTTGACTGTCCTCAGGATTTTCCTTCTATCCAGGCTGAAACTCTCTTGTTTAGCAAGAGAGCAAGTAGTTAATAGCAGTTAGTTGTATTGATCTAATCTTTGCCATCTGCTTGAAGTATTTTAATGTTCTGGCTCTCACTTTAAGTGTCCTCCATCTTCCAACCTTGTGTCTCAGAACTTGACCGTCTTCTATGTTCTGCTGATGACAGACCTGTGATTTTTATTTTTTTCCCATTGTTCCCATGCCTTCTTCCAACCATCCTATACAAAAGGTGCTGCTCTCCAGGCAGGCTGGAATCAGCTTTTTCTTATCCCTCAGGAGTCAGAATATGAAAATGAAAAAAAAAAATCTGCCATGAGTTAGTATCTGCTGGGTTACTGCTTGGTTTTATTATCAGTCTTTTGGCGATGTTACATCGTGTGTGTTTTATAGCATCTTATATAGTGGTGCTGAAGATTCTGGATGTTCTTACAGTAGTACTTAAGTTTATATATGCTTAGAGTAATTTTTTTTCTGATTCTTGATAAGGTATATATTTTATACTTGTAGAATATATCTTGCTAAAGTTTTCAGTTCCTATTTGTTCATAGCAGAAAAATGGACTATACCACTCACTTCATCCACAAATGGATACTTGTGTTCCAATATAGAGCTAACCAGTCTACATTCCAGAGAGTAGAAATGTAACCACAGTAGCATCCAAGTATGATCCAATTCTAATAACTACAGATATGATGTCTGAAAGTGTTTCATAGAATGGCACAAGTATAAAAATAATTGATTTTTCTGAAAAATTGTTTCCTTCTTTCACTTGTTGAGGTACACTGAAAGCTCTTGATAATTGAATCCAAAATACTCTTATGTCTCCTTAAGTACTATCACTATTACTTAATATACATTAGGTACTTTCTAAGAAATGCAGTATCCTTTAAATATCAAGCTTGTTCATTATGTTTCAAACATATGTTTCCCTTGTATGCCACTCTTAATCTACAAATATTTGACTAATGAAGATATAATTTCCATAGATTTATATCAAGAGAACAAATCTGAAAGTCTGAATCTATGCTGAGCTAGGCTAATATATTCGCCTGTCTTGGAAAGAAGCAGCTGTGATATAAAAGAACTGCATGTCTCATGCATATTAAAATACAGGGCTGTGTTTAGTATTGTAGAATACTATTTATTTATTAGATCTTGAATGCAAAACCCAAAGTGCTTTTCCTTTTGGAGCAAAATAGCATTGATACTGAAGAAATCTGTAGTTTGAGGGTTTCTTCCCTCAGTAAGTCACAAAGATTAATCCATCCTCGTAGAAAAAGAGGAGCGTTGTTGAGGCCTCGTAGATGCTAAAAGTCCAGTACCAACTGCAGGGCTATGGCCTTGGGACCACTGCATGCTGAAATTCTGGACTAGGGAGATAAGTTTTGTTCAGAAATCTGTTTTTCTAAGAGAAGTCTGACATTCCTTAAATAAAGATAAGCTACTTCTCAGACATGGAAGAATTGATAAAATCAGTTCAAAGTACAAAGAAAGATTATAGCAAATTTTTATTTAAAAAGAGTGAAAGATACACAAGTTCTTTTCTTTTTCTTTTTTTTTTTTTAGATTCATCAGATGGAAGTCTAAAAGCTTCTACACATCATGGGGCAATAGATGTTTATGTCAGTCAATTAAGAAAAGTGGACCTGACATCTCAGAAAGGTTAGCAAACTAAAACATATTTTCTGTGGCAGCTTATGATGTAAAAGAAAAGGGGGTAAGAGGTTTTTCGTTTATCTGCATGGAAAAATTGAGTTTGGTTATCTGTGTTCTTTTATTAGAAAATATGTATAAATTCAGTAAACTCTGTAAGGAGCAATGATACTGCAAAAGGATTACAGAATTTTTTTGTTTTTTCAATACTTTCTTTTTTTCCCAGCAATCTACCCAGCAGGACTCTGCAGAGTTGACTTGGATACAATCTTCCTTTGCCTTGAGCAGAGTTTACTCCATGTTGCTGATCTATATATATGTGCAGAATGACATCCATTGCATGTTTACGTTTCTTTT